TTTCGGTAAATTCTCATCAGGCCAATACTGTTACATAGGGCGAGGTACAGTAAGTGAAACAAAAATCGATAAAAGTTAGGTTTTAAATTGCAGGCTCGGCAAGAGCGAAAGGGCGCCGAAAGTTGTATGTGGTTAGTCAACCTTTGACCACGGTAAGCGCGGAGCCTGAACAAGGTTCTTTTGGGCGCATAGGGTCGGTTTTCGTAACCTTATGGCGGCAGCTTCTGCTGTTGCTAACAGGCGCTGGCCCAGTAGCTTAGGGTAGCTCGAGGGGACCTTGTAAATCACACGAAATGCTTCGGTGGGGTCCACACGATGCCCTGAGTCCACTGCATGCGCAAGGATGGCGCTGTCTATTCTCTTAGTTTCACCCTTTGCCAGCCATGCGGGAAGGTGCTCTCGTATTCTTTTGGAAAGGCGCCGACTCGTACGACCAATATAACCTGCTCCACAGGAGCAAGTGAATGAGTAGATGCACATTGAGGCGGTCTGAGTTGGCAGCCTATCCTTGCCTTCTCCGCAGAGAATAGGGTTAGTGGAGAATGATATGCTAACTCTTGCTGCTGGGAAGGTTCCCGAGACAGCTTGGTCAAGGCGTCTTCTTAGGAGTTCACCTGCAGCGTCTCTTTGGAAGGGGACTTTGAGGAACAACGTTTTCTTTTTGGCGGTTAGTGTGGTGGGTTTTGCAGGTCGTTCGTGGACCCCACCGACGCATTTCGTGTGATTTACAAGGTCTCCTCGAGCTACCCTAAGCTACTGGGCCAGCGCCTGTTAGCAACAGCAGAAGCGGCCGCCATAAGGTTACGAAAACCGACCCTATGCGCCCAAAAGAACCTTGTTCAGGCTCCGCGCTTACCGTGGTCAAAGGTTGACTAACCACATACAACTTTCGGCGCCCTTCCGCTCTTGCCGAGCCGGTAATTTAAACCCTAACTTTTATCGATTTTTGTTTCACTCACTGTACCCCGCCCTATGTAACTGTATTGGCCTGATGAGAATTTACCGAAAGGAACGTTCACTCGCCACCCTCTCTTCTGATTTAATTTTTCTGATTCCTTTTGGCGATAAATGATGGGGCTACTGTGTACAACTTGAGCAACATGTCCTTTGAGATCTTTTTTGCGTGAACGCCTCTTTGCTTTCAACTTCATTCGAAAATATGATTTCGGATGGTCTGTTCTTGTCTGCGTCAGTATTTCGTTGTCACTGTTGTTGGTCTCTGTGAGGTATAAAAAATAACAAAAAAAAGTGTCAGCTTTTTATCGATTAAAGTGCCCCGAATTATCCCTGAAAGTTGGCCCTTTCAGGACCTCTTTGTCTATGGATACTGTCGTAGACCGAATACTAAAACTGAAGGGCTGCTAGTTTGCCATATTCTAAAGTTTCCGACTTTTGCAGACTCGCAGATATAGTTTCCAAAATCTATAGATTGGTTTTTCGGCAATAAGATGGCAGTGGAATTTGCGGATTTCACATTATTCATGTTCTAACCAAGATGCTTTAATAGCTCTTTGCTCGTAAGCCTATTCAGATGCCCATCACAAGTGATTTTATACTATTCTCGGCAAATTTTGAGACGGTTTTTCCCTCATAAACTCATTGGGTCGGTTTTTTAAGCTTCACGGCACATTTAATAGGACTTATTTCTGTGCAACCTCATTTTATATAATTACGGTCAACATCACTTGCAACCGCGTATCCGCCGCATGCTTTTTTTCATAAAACAAAATTTATCCAAAACATTTAAAATGGAGAAAAACATCCCGCATTGACCGAACAAGGTAATTAGACTTCAAACAATAAGCATGCTTAGCTCCAGTGCCAGGATCGGCATTCTTGAGACTCGGGCTAGCGTTACTTTGCATCCTGTGGCATGCGGAATTTTGCAAGAGGATAATATCCATACTTAAACAATGCGTCCATTACTTAGCTATTTTCCTCGCCTACATAAATCGAATTGTCTGTTTCATAAACAACTGGTTTGCGATTGGCCACCTACTAAGCTTTTGCTTAAAACCAGGTTTCCATGAAATTTAAAAGTGCTCTCATTTGTACATTTCTGATACATCGAAGTGTGCCAGTTCTGCTCTTTGCTGCTTTGCCAGTGACGCGGAACGCTCATTCATTAAAAGTAATTTCGAGTTTTTATTGCATTTATTGTTAAGGTGTGTACTGATGCACACAAAGCAATGGAATGTATCAATAAGTTACTGCGCACTTCGTAAGCAGAAATAAAATATGCCATGATAGGCCGTCCCCTTAGGTTAAAGGCTGTATCGCCTGAATAAGGGTCGTTCCATAAAGCTGATATGCCAAGCCATATTTTTAATCCTTTAAACTTTGCCTCGGAACTAACAATCAGTTTAATAAAACTCACTTTAAGTGACAAATTATTAACAATAGAAAGTAAGAGAGATGTTACAGTGAATTTTAGCCTAAAAACAGCAAGCTTCTCAGTTACCCAGAAATTTGCATGAAGTACTTTGAGCAAAAAGCAGAAACACAAATTTTCGGAATCTGACTAAGTTTCGCCATCCGAGATGCTGACATAGCACATACTTTGCCTGAAAATCGTAATGCGTTTTTAATTATGCATATGGGGTTGTAACCTGGAGAAGAGCGTTTAAGCCTCTAAATAAATATTCATTAAGGCGTAACTTTATCAGACAGCCGCTTTTCGCAGTAATTGCCGCCGTCCAAGTCCATGGGGACTTGCATTAATGCTCAATTGTACGAAGTTATTTCGGCCTAGCGCTTGTACTTGTGGTCCTATTCTGCCAAGAACATACATATTTAAAGATGGAATATTTTTTCTTGGGGGCATTAAAAGTCACGATAACTCGCTGTGTAAGAGATCGCGTTAGTCAACCTGAACATTATTGAATTTTTATAACATATTTTTTTCGAGTGTCAAGCTTATCGGGAGGGGAAGACAAAACCGATATGCTTATGCTGAGAAAACATTCAAGCGGATACTTTTGCATGCTGTATTAGCACGTGGTAGATAGTTGCACAATTCTATAGTGTCTCCTTTATTTGTGGCCTGTGAGAGGGCCCTCACACCAAATTTTTGCCAGGACAAATAAGTTAAATTTATCAGTCCTGACTCTGGTAACCCATATGTGTGGCTTACGTCTCAAAGTTTATTTTAACAAATTTGCATCTTTAGTATACAGTTGTCAGTCTTTTTAAACAAAAAACTGAATTTTTTATTTAGTTTGAATATTCTTTATTCTATTCCTAAGAACTCATTGCCCAGCGGTACCGTTGACCTACTCATTTAACTGAATTTTGGTGAACGTTAGTAATATTTATTAAAGAAGTCCTGATTACTGCAAGTATGCGCAAAGCTTTGAAAGACAAGAAACTAACGAGGTTTTAAGGTGAAGGGCATACTATATGCACCGTTTTAAAACATCGCCTTACCGAGTAGTTTTTTTATTAATTAGCATAGCGTGCGGGGAAAGTAAATTATGCAGAAGGCAATCGGGTCCAACATCGGGATTTTGAGGAGACATGAGGCCTAGAAGGGGTGCCCATCACGGACGGATTGTCCACTTGAACTTTGATTCATCTCTGACATGGAGCTAGTAGCGTGTAGTCGCATGCGTAAGACGGGGTAAAATACAGCAGATGGGCTAACTCATGAAATGCTAACCAAAATTTCGAAATGCGTTCTCGTTTCGAAAAGATAAATTTAGTAGTGTTGCAAAACTAATCATGATGCAGCATAAATCTGTAATGATCCGGTCACCTCAGGATGTCGGCTTTCGTAAGAACTTATTTCCGGCTGCATGCAAGATCTATACTCCGCAAAAATGACTGCTTAAGTAATATGCAATTTTCTCATTGATTTTCGATGCCCTTGAAAATACGATTATATTTCATGGAAAACATGCATACAAATATTTATTATTTTACTAATTCAGTAGAAAATCACGTCTTCTTCCAATTTCATGCTCAAAAGAAGAGTATAATTCGGTTTTAAAAACTTTTCTAATTCCCGAATAATTTTGAACTCGACCTGTTGTTACACTTGCATTCAGGGTTTCAAAACTACAAGCTGTATATTTTCCGTGTACGGAAAACCATGCAGTTTTCTACGGTTTTAAAAGGAAACCATATGAGGTTCATAAAATTAAGCATTGGATTTGAGCAAAATTGTTAACTTTACAAGCCACATTCGTAAATGCAAATACATGACGTTTCATGAACGGCCGTTGAACGGTATTAAAAAAATCTCACGATAAGAAACTTTTTTAAAACCGAATTATACTCTACTTTTGAGTATAAATTGGAAGAAGACGTGATTTTCTACCGAATAAGTAAAAGAATGAATATTTTTATGCATTTTTTTCATGAAATATAATTAAATTTTCAAGAGCATCGAAAATTATTGAGAAAATTGCATACTGCTTAAGTAGTTACATTTTGCAGAGTATAGAACTTGCATGCGGCCGAAAATATGTTCATTCAAAATTCGACAGCCTGAGGTAACTGAATCATTATAGATTTATGCTGCATCATGATTAGTTTTACAACACGACTTAATTTATCTTTTCAAAACGAGAACGCATTTCGAAGTTTTGGTTGACATTTCATGAGTTAGCCCATCTACTCTACCTAATCAGTCTTCGCACTCGATTTTACCTCCTTTTTTGTGTAAGGGAATAGATGAAGGGAGAGTAAAAGTACGGGCTGGCTTCTAGCTTGAGGTTTCGGTAGTCATCCGTTTCAAAAAAAGGAGGCGTTCACCGGGAGGGGTTTATAAGACATCTGACGTTTCGAGTAGGTACTTCGGCTTGTAAAGAAGATGAAGACCCGATCTCTGGGACAGTGGGTTTATTAGTCTGAGCTTTCGGTCTCGTGCAGGAGGCCATCGTCAGAGACTGTGAGAAGACAACATCAAATGAGTGGTTTTTGTAGTCACGCCATGAAGGGGGGGGGGGAGATATGAGTGCAGAGGGTGGTATTCGCGATAAGTTGCGTCCCACGCCGTCTCACGGTGGCGTGACTGCGTGCACCCTTGGCTGGAAATTGGGTCTCGCCCCTTGGCCGCGGGAATGGAGCGCGTGATAGCAGGGGGGTACGTCAACGTGCCTGTTGATAGCGTTGGTGTCAGACACCCAGGCCTCTAACAGTTCTCGTCCTGTCTTATTGCTGGCCCGCGCCACTATCCGCGTGCTCGCAAAGTTGAATTCGTGGCCTTCCTCCAGGGTGTGAGTGGCGACCTGAGACAACGGGTCGCCTCTCCGGACCGCCCGTTTGTGCTCCGTTATTCGTGAGCTAAGTCGTCGTCCGGTTTGTCCAGTGTAGTGGCGAGGGCAGTCCCGACATGGGATCTGATAGACGACGCCCGATTGTTCACCCACGTCTAGGCGATCCTTCACTTGCATGATTTTGCTGCGCATGGTCGCTGTCGGACGGTGAGCGATACCCACGCCGAGCTCTCCAGCGATACGTTCCATCGATTCGGATACGTTCTTTATATATGGCAGAGGGTGCCAGTGTGTTGGCGGCTCTCCTCCGTTCGTTCGCCGTGGGCGCGTGCGGAGGCAGCGGCTGACGAAGCTGTTCGGGTACCCATTCCTTGCCAGTTGGTCCCGAAGATGCCAAAGTTCTCGTACTCGTCCCTCTGGTTCACTGCAGTGCGTTTTTACCCTCTGGAAGAGTGTGCTAACACAGGCACTTCGTCTACCCAACTTCAGAGACTAGGCAGTCATGCGCACAACTCTCGTTATACAGTGCACTTTTTGATGCCTAGTCCGCCAATGTCGCCTGTGTGGCCGCCTGTGTGGCCGCCTGTGTGTCAGCATGTCACCGGGATCTGTGTGGCCTCGCATTCGTCGACGGCGGAGATAACTGGCGGCCCCGATTGTCCTGTGCCGTGACTGCCCCTCGTCAAGAAGGTACGTGAGGTGAGGGTGAGGTGAAGGTACGCCAGGTGAGGAGTAAGTTAGTTAATTTGGCGGTTGACAGGGCAGTCGGTGGACCTCCCGGATTTTCGCACCTGCCTTGATGTGGGATTATTGTCTCGGCCCACGATCTCAACGACGTAAAAGTTGAAGATGTGTCCCAGTTGCGCAGCGCGGGTTGGTATATCCGACTTTGGGTTCAACCCTCGAACAGCCAACTTGTGCCCATGCATTCGCACTTTCATTCGTCGTCCAGTCTTTCCAACGTAGCTGCACATCCTGCAGCCGCACCCAAATCGGCATACACCTCCTGCTTATGAATGGGGTCTTTTGGCCGCATCATTTGCCAGCGGATTGCTGAGCCAGCATCTCCTAGTTCAAATGGCGCGAGGGATCCAGCCATGGCTTCGAAGACCTCTTTCACATTCGGAATGCTCCGCTACGATTTTTGGCTGACTCTGCTCATCACTCCGCTCCCCTTGTTGCCATCGTCTTCTTTCAACGAATGCTCGCGGATAGCTGTTGTCCCTGAAGAGTTTTTGGATGCAGTCACGCTGACGGTATTGGCGGGCCACGCATCAAGCACAATGCGCCGTATAAGGAGGGCTGTAAGCATGACTTCCCGGTCTCTGAAGATGGGTAGACGAAGCAACCGCTCGAAACATCAGACCTCCAATAAACCTCTCCCCCGGCGAACACCTCCTCTTCTTTTGATATGCCACCTTGGAATCGCATTTTAACTACTATTGAAGTCGTCTGACTATTCTTCTTCTGTGGGCAATTTTGAGTCAATTCTCAGTGAGCCTTTTCTGGGCGGAAAATCATTTTCCCAAGTGGAATACTGTGGTTAAAAGGAGTGTGAACATCCAACCTTAACTGCTGCTGACTGTGAGGAGAAAGGATCCAGGAAGGTGAAATTTTGTCAAGCTGACCCTTCGAAAGGAAACAGGCCTCCGTTGCCGGACGATAGAGTATCCCGGCATTCCACAGTGCTGAGCGGCGTTTATGGCGTTGCCTCAGTGCGCTTGCGGGACACTCCTCCGTATAAGCGGTATTCTGGAGTCGGGTCTACTGTCCGTCTCGCCACCGTTTCTGCTACAACTCATTGCCGTCTCTCTGGCAACACCAGTGTTTACTCCGCGTTTCCATACTCCTTGGCATGTAGCTACTGTCCTGTCTTAAAGTAACTAGTTATCAAGATTCCTAGCTGATGGGAGGACACCTAGATGTAACTAGTGGCTGTACTTGTAAGTCTTTTTATAGCGGTGCAGTGCTCGAAATGAACAGAAAGACTCAACGGTCATTCTTGATGTAAAACCTTCAAGCGAATGATGTAGGACGCTCCGCTAAATGCCGTCTAACGGTGATAAGGCTTGTTAACGCGAGGCCACTTCTTCCCCGAACTCGTCATTTTGAGTCGATTTGTGCTGTATGCAGGCATAATTACGCAAAAGGATCTTCGATTCGACATATTAACACGGCTTCCACACCCTTCGTGGTACGTTTACGGTTTTGCAAGTCAACTGCAGAAATAGGAAATCCGACTTTTGACTTCTTGTTTGGAGTGTCCTCTAAATAATGGAAAAAGTACTACATTCCTCAAGCAGGTCTCTAAGACAGTTTCTGAGGCGTGTGCAATTGTACACCATCGTTTCATATCGTCTTCTGTTATTATCATGCATCATTGTGTTTTTAATTTAGCATTTTTGCCAGAAAGCGCATTGAAGACAGGTTTTCTGTCAAAAATGAGCCGGAAGCCTCCAGCATATGAGGACGAATTCCACGATTCCTGTCTGCAAAAAACAAGTATTATAACTTGCGTACTTGTACTTCGAACGGCTATGCTCATGCCCGATTAAGCCGGCCTGAATGATATCGCGAAATACATGCCTCCACTTTCAGCGGTTTGGGTACTCGAGTGAACTTTCTGATGGGCTCCATGGACAGTAACACCAGAAAGCTTCATGACCGGCCGTTTTTTTCGCAGAATGTTTACCTGATTACTTCAGAAGAGAGGCGAGACTTTTTCACTTCACGAGTCCTTATTTTAGGCTCCACCAAAGTTAGTTCCTCGAACACACAGATCCACTTGTCCCCAATTAATTCCGTGAACTTTGTTTCAGCCTCCGACAGCTGCTATGTTTCAAGTTTATACTGGAGTTTGTGATGGAATTTCGGTGTCTCATTTTGTCGTTAGTTCCGATCTTTTTTGACACGCTGTGCGCTGCTAGATTGGAATAGTATCGGTACAGTGTGCACTTAGTCTAGAAGCAGTCATGTCAGATAGTTGGTTTGGAAAAGAATGTTCATTTGCAGTTCTTTCAAAGTCCCACGTAACAGTTCGTTGGAGACATTTGGCAAATGTTTGCTTTAAAGTATTTTTTGCTGCATGCAAGTGTTGTAAGGATAAAGAAAGAAACTCTAGTTAGAAATTTCCAGCCTTCAGGCATATGAAACATTTCATTTGACTCATTTGTGAAAACAGGGTTGCCTCGGGGGATTTGGGCCGACGACAGCAAAAGAGAGGCTTTTAGTACATCCAACGCTCTAACTTTCTGGGCTACGAGCCTCCTCTCCCTCCCCCCTTCCCTATCTATTCACATACCCCTGTTAGTGTGGAATCACCTTACCATTAAGTATACTTCTAGCAGCCGATCGGCAGTTAATTAATATTGCGCGGTTATACGCTGTGGCTGATGGACTTCGGCTCAAATATTCATACAGGAAAACTTTGGTCTAGGCCTATAGACCTTAAATATACTGATCTACCCCAAGCTCGCAGTTAATTTCTAAGTAAATTAAAAAAGAACAATTTCTAAATTGGAGTATCTACCAGAAAGCAGACGGAGAACGCTGGGAAATCCACTGGCGTGCCTAATCCCTTGCAGCTGTGTCATGCAGCGGCAGAATATCGGCGAAACACGCGTGTATGCGCTGGTAGTCGTATGGAATCACCTTACACTTAAGTTTGTACCTCGTTCCCATATAAATGAGCAGGCCCAATAAGAATTTATCGAAGGCAGACGTATGCTCGCTAGATGCTCCTCTAAAGCGCTCCATGGGAATTTTCTCAACTTTATAACAATCCAGAGATGTGGACAGCTAGTGAGAGCAGACCGGACTAAACAGTCGTGCACAGTTAGACCTGTTGGTTTATTGTCTTTTTGTTAAATAAAAACTGTCTGTCTCTTGGGTGCTTTAGGCAACCCATGTCTGGTGTATTTCATAGCTTTCATGGGAGTCTCGACACATACCCACTCCGGTTTTGAAAAGAACATGCGCGAGCTTCAGACTACAGTGACGCACTCCTCTCCCATTATTCTTTTCCAGTTTCAGAAAAAGTAGCAAGGCAAGACAAACGAGATGCAAATCATTCTGATTACCCCATTACCAGAAAGCACCGCTGCGCAGTGAGGTACACTGGTGACGTTTGTCTGATTTGGATTAGGATGGCAGAAGCATCGATATCTCTCTCACACACACTCGCCTTCTCTTCCCCTCTCTCTATCTAATTTCTGAATAATCCAACTAATCCACATAGAATCCACCAGATGGCTATCAGGTTCGCGTAATTCATAGCCTGATAGTCATCTGGGGGATTCTCGGTGGATTACTTAGGAAGTCCTGATTGGACGGTCGGCTTGCTCTATCAGATTTTGTGGATTCCGGACGTTGCAGTTGTCTGGGCGGATAACTTGGCCCAGATGTCATTGAAAACACGTCTCCCGGTGGGGCCTCGTAGCTCAGGTGGCTAGAGCGTTGGCTGTACTAAAGACTTCCCCTTGCAGTCTTGGATTCGAATCCCACCGAGACGCCCACTTTTTCGCAATTGGGTCAATATGAATTCTGTTAAAAACCCGAAAGCTAACTTACCGAGCTCCAGGTGCTCCACACTTCGTGGTTGAGTATTGCTGGCCTATGACGGCTTATAAGTCAAAAATAGCTATTCCTTGTCTTTTTCGGTCTTGTTATTTCGCTTATATTACGCACCGATGCGCACACGCTAGTTGGGCTCGAGAGAGAGCCCCGAGACACTGTGGAGCAAATGGCTTCTGTAACACGTTGGCTAGAATTAATTATTTCATTAACAAAGGCGACAAGTAGTGGGTGTTAGGCTGACTTTAAATACATACGTGTTTTTGATAGTTTTTGAATAATTCATACTGATCCAACTGTGAAAACTGGGCGTCTCAGTGGGATTCGAACCCAAGACTGCAAGGGGAAGCCTTTAGTACAGCCAACGCTCTAGCCGCCTGAGCCACGAGGCCCCGCCGGGAGACGTGATTTTAATCACATTTGGGCCAAGTTATCCACCCAAACTGCTGCAACGTCTGCAATCCACAAAATCTGATACAGCAAGCCGACTGCCCACGCAGGATTTCCTCATTAATCCACCTAGAATCTACCAGATGAGTGCCAGACTTAAATGTGATTAAACCCACGTCTTACTGGGTCTCAGTGGACAGAACAATGAGTTTTTACTTATGCTGTATTATGAGCGGATAACATTTTTTATCGCTTGCAACTTTGTGCTGAGTGTAAGTATGCAAAAT